CTCTCCCTATGGCTCCATTAATCAGACAAACAGAGAACAAAACAGTGACAAGCAACATATACAAGTACAGCTTCCCCATCTCAAAATCAAAGAGAAAATGAATTCTGAACAAATGGGATTATATTATATATACAAATAGAGTAAAAATTGCTTTATTTTGATCTGACTTTCGTCCCATGGTTTCCAGAAACAACAAAAAGAAGGATGAAACTTGGACGGATGATTTGAGGGTCTAAAAACAAACTCTTCTTTTGGGAGTTCTAAACTGCTCCATGGTCTGCCTGCACTAGTCCCAGGAGGAAATAGAAATTGAAAAGGAATCTGCAATATATATTTTTATTTTTTAAAAAATGGAAAGTAGGACAACAGTTATGGAAGAAGGGATGGGGATGGGGTTTGCTCACATCTGTAAAAGAAACATATTGTGTGGAGATATTGCGTGCAGGGAAGTCTGCTTTTGTTGGGATTTTGCAGTGAAGAAAAGGACTTTTGAGTGTCTGATCTTCAAAAAGTCTTACAGTACTTTTTTTTTAATCTCTGTGACTGTATTTTTGCTCATTTCGAGGGCTTTTTTTTGAGGATGTTTTAGGATGTAATTTACGAGATCCCATAAAATAGGAGAATTCGGATTGCCTTTTTTTTTTTTTTTTGTTAAAACTCATTTTTGGTTTTTAAACTATTATACATGCATTAAGTTGATCTTTAAATTTAAAAAAAATTTTATTTAGTCTCTATTATTTATCATTTTAACACCAACTTATTCTTTTTATTAAAAATTCATGATGTGTGCTATTAATTCACAATTACATGACGATGTGATAAAATATTAATATACGTGAAAGATAACATGACAAAAAATAATAACATGAAAAAATTAATAATATAAAAATAATAATAATATGAAAAATAAAACTTAAAAAATTCTTCTTTTTTTTTTCCCTTTTCCCTTTCTCCTTGGAACTCATCGAACCTAGCAGTCATTGCTAGGTTCGATGGAACCTAGATTCAAAAAATTTTCTACTTTTCTTTTGTGGGTTTTGTTATTTAATGATGAAGAAGAATTGATTGATAAAGAATGAAATTTCATTTCATTGAGTTAATTGTTTGATTCAAAAAAATGATGATGAAAGTTGACTCAGAGGAGGCAAAGAGAGAGAAAAAGAAGGATGAATGAAAAAGATTTGAGAAAAAAAATGTTGGAGGAAAAAGATGAAGGTAAAATTGTAATTTTGGTGGGTTTCATGGCAAGAACACAACCTATCATATTGCCATGTCATCATTTTTATCTGATATGTCTCAAATTTTTGACATGTCATTAAGTCCTTGTGAATTAATGGTGAATTTTTAACGAGAAGACCAAGTTGGCATCAAATTGATAAATAGTAGAAACTAAATTAAATATTTTCTAAGTTTAGAGACCAAATCAGGGAGTCTATATGATAGTTTAGGGACCAAAATGGGTTTTAACCCTTTTTTTTTTCACCGGTTGGTTCATTTTTCTGGACAAGTGGAAGGCTGCCAATAATATATGTCAATTCTATAACTTAAAAAGTTAATTAAAGTTTTTCTTTAATTTAGTAGCCAGCCTGTCTCGAATTAATTTGCACTTACTTCATGACTAATTTTCTCCTATTTTAATTACAGATAGTTCATTCTACGTCGTTGCTAAAAAAATTCATAATAAATTATTTTTTATAATTATTTTTTATTGAATGAAAGTTTAATTATTAAAGTAAGAACAAATCTTTTTATAAATTAAAAATTTTTAATTCGAACCTTAAGACTCATATGATATACTAAAAGAAAAAAACCAATTAAAACTTAATTTTAAGGACTTAAGCAAGTGTTTAAACTACTTCATCTCCAAAAAAGGATGTTAAACAATATTCTCTATGAATATTACGGGTGCTAAACTTAAAATCAATAAAACCTTCTTAATTAATTAATTATTTATTTATTTTTATATCTTTCCCCATCCCCACATTTTCATTTGTTAAAAAAAAAAAAAGAGAGAGAAAAAACTTAAGTAACGTGATTTTGACCAAATTGGGAAGTTTTTGTTTTTATTTTTATTTTTTGAAGTTTGTTTCTTTCTTAATTTGCAGGCTAAGAATCCTAGGGAGAAAATCTGAAAGTATCTTTTGTTGGTAAAGAAAGGGTAGTTTATTTTACATGTAGCAATGTCATACATGAAAAAGTGCTCGTGAAGGAAACTCCATTAATAAAACAAAAGGAAAACAATTGCTTGTACCCCACTTAATAGTTGGAAACTTCCAAAAGTTATACCATTTCTTAAAGCTTTTGTTCTATCTCAACTACAACTCATTTTCCACTAAATTCCTCTTTTCTTTTCTCTTGAGTAAGAAAAAATGTCCAATCCACCAGCAAATTGGGTCTTAACTCTTAACCACTAATCATGACTTAAATTATTAACTAAAAAATGTTATTAAGCACTTTTTTTGATAATCTTTACCAAACACTTAATGTTAATGTGTAGTAATTTTTTTAGAAAAGCAAAACACTGGTCCATAAAACTTTCTTCAAAAGTCTATGATGGGCTTTAGAATCATCGAAACGTCAATTGGTCTAGGTCTGTATCTAAAAGCATAACCTTGACCCGTAGAAAATGCAAAACACAGGTCCAGTTATAATGGCCCACCTAACCCCTTGGGGGGCAGAAGCACAACCCAACCCAACAGTGGCTCGGCACACTGGAAATCGAACCCATCTCTGACCCAATGAAGAGCAGCAAGAGATCACATATTTGGGAATTGGGGGATCCTTTTTTCCTTGGGTAAAGGAATCAATCCTAACTTTGGATAAAAAGACTAACGAAAGCTTAGCTTATTCAGAAACTTCAATTTGAAATTAAGGTATCAAGCTTAGGATTTCGAATATCTATGAGTTTTTTTTTAAAATTAGATTTTTTCATCTCTTCAGTTATTCATTTATATATAAATTATACGTCTTGAATTTTTTTTTTTTTTGAACATATTTTACAAGGGCAGGTTTTGAACCCTGCCGGGAGAGGAAGAATGCACCGTGACTATGTCAATAGGTCTCAAGGGTCAGGTGCTATACGTCTTGAATTTAAAACTTTTTACTTCTAAAAAAATATTAAATTACTTAAGTTGTTAATCAAACATTTATAACATTATCAAACATTTATAACATTAAATATCTAACTTTTAATATACAAAAAACAAATAAGAGAGAGAGAGAGAGAAAAGATGTAAAGAACAGCCATAACCTCAACAATCACTTAACCAACATTTTTAAGAACAATATTTATTTATCTTTGTTTTGTTCCCATTAGCTGGCATCAGAAACATTTACTAGTTCTAGGTATATATGTGTAGATAAAACTTATGTTGATCACAACAATGTCTAGTATTAATTTAACCTTACTTTAAAGTTTTGAAGATTATGGTTTAACTAATTAAAGCTTTATTAGGCGATGCCCCCCCCCCCCCAAAAAAAAATAATAAAGCTTTAGGCATGGCCAGCCTATTACACATGTATTGCACGTGGGTATTTAATTTTTTTAAATACCATTAATATAAAATTTTCCATTAAATAAATTTAAAATAAAAAGAATATATAGTAGCTAGGCCTATAGGGTTCTCAATTCTCTCCCTTGCATAAGAGCCAAACCCGCCCAAATGCAAATTGCGTAAGTCCCCAATTCTCCCTTTATTCTTTCCCCATCATCCAACGGTCCTAAAGCCACTTTAACCTACCATCCTCTCATCACAGCCGTTACACCTCCCTCTTCCTTGTTTCTAACACATTTTTTATGCCGCCTTCTCCTTTAATTCATCCCTTCTCTCTCATTTCATCAATCTTATGCCGCACCTCCCATCTTCTTCCTTCCCTTCTCTCCCAAACCCCATTTTGTTATATGAATATTGATCCTCTCATCCCCATTGGTGACAATGTCTGTGCCGCCGTGGCTTGAATCTTTGTTATCCACCACATTCTTCACCATCTGTCCTAGACACCGAGATGTCCCCAGAAACGAGTGCAACATGTATTGTCTCGATTGTATGACCGATGCATTTTGCTTCTATTGTCGATCCTCTAGACACAGAGATCATCCTGTAATCCAAGTGCGTGTGACTCCTCATTCCCTCATTCATTATTTTGTTTTATTTTTTGTATGAGATCATAGATCATGAAATGTGATATGTTTTTGTTCAGATCAGACGGTCGTCGTACCATGATGTGGTTAGGGTGACTGAAATTCAGAAGGTTCTGGACATCAGTGGAGTTCAGACATATGTGATAAACAGTGCTAGAGTTCTCTTTCTCAATGAAAGACCTCAACCTAAAGGCAGCAGCAACAGCAGCAGCAGCAGTAAAGGAGTTTCTCATTTATGTGAAATATGTGGGAGAACTCTTCTTGATCCCTTCCGTTTTTGTTCCTTGGGATGTAAGGTCAGTTTCCCCTCATTTTCTTCTCACAAATATTCCAACACATTTCTAAATAACGGAAACAGTCGTCTTATCAATTCAGTCATTTTGTGTAAGTTGCATTTAATCCGTTCTTAATTATTTTTTTTCCCTTTGTTATGTTGAGATTGATATATTTAGGATAAATTTAATTAATTGCATTTTATTTTAAATAAAATCTGAAGTTGGTATGAAAGCGAAATTTGATTCCAAATAAGTTGTTTTTATTAATTAATGAAATTTTGTGTTGAACATTTTTAAAAAAATTAATAAATATATAGCTGGTGGGAATAAAGAAGAATGGGGATGCGAGTTTTATCGTGAGCAACAAGAACGAGGATGGGAACGAGGAGGGAGAAGAAGGAATGGCAATACTGGCGGCAAGAAGAATGGCGTTATCCCAGGAAGAAGGATTGCGTGAAGGAAGGCAACAAGAAATGCTACAGCCTACTCATTTAAATATTAATAATAATAATAATTCAAGGAGAAGGAAAGGCATTCCTCATAGGGCACCTTTTGGGTCCTAAGAAAAATTCTTTGTACAATATCCAGCTCATTCCTCACAAGCCACCCACATGGGGTCACTGTCCCTAAACAAGGGCAGGGGAGACATTTAAACAATGATTAGGTGTAAGTTTCCATTTGGGTTGGGAGCTGACTTGGACCTCCATAAATGTGGCATTAATGCACCAGACATTTGCTGGGTTTAAATCTTATGTATACGTACCTATATACACATGATCGGTTTTATAAATATATACGTACACTTTTAATTTTATATAGAAAAGGAACAACACCTCTGCTTTTCTTTCTCTCTCTTTTTTTTTCCCTATATTTTTGTTTTAAAGGCACATGCATGTAGCATGTGAATGTATTCTCTAAAACGTTATAATTAGGATCTACA